ATTCGTCTGAACTTGTACTGAGGGGAACGTGTTGTAAGCGACGTCAGGAGAAGGACAGAAGCAACTCCATCGTCTCAGGATGACTGACCCAAAGCTTGGGCCTGCAAGGGTCTAGAGATGGGGACTTGCGGAAAAATAAACACCGTTGACATGACCCCTGCGGCGCTAAAGCAGGAACAAAAGAACGCTTGTGTTTTTCCATCTTGTCTTCTGCCCCAGTTTCAGGTACAGCGGTTCTTCGGCCGAGATGGACTACTCGCTTGCAAGACGGGCTTATCACTTCGCTTGGGACGGTGTTGGCAGTATTCAACTGAATGACCGTTCTGCCATTTCTTGGCAATAATCAATCTTACTTTGGCCATCTACAGACTATCGTGAAGATCCAGATGCTAGCCTCGACTATACCGTCGGTAAAATGCGACTCTAAACTTTAAAATACTATGAAAATCACTGTAATACTTGCATGATCTGCTCATACCTCGATCAATCATACCCATAAAACCACAAGGGCTGAAACGGCCTTGGCCAACACCATGCGACCCTCCACCACCCTCATCCCTGATGGCATATCGACCCGGACATGATACCCCTGCCTCAATCTATCCAAGGCGGGAAACTGATCCGTTTAGCCATGAGGCTCTTTACCCGCCAGCTCAGGTCTCCAAACATTCATATAAACCGCCCTCTTCCTCTCTCCAAGATACTCTCTCTCTTCACTCAGGCTCATTCAGCAGTTCATTCCATTCACTTTTTGCTCCTTGCACATTCTTTCACACTTCTTTGACAGAAGTCGTTTCATTCATTCATTCACTTAAACCGCCAGTCGGATATTACCACTCTTTACTACAAAACACAAGACCTACTTTTCTTACACAACTTCAAGATGCCTTCTTTCACCTCCAAGACTCTTCTCGCCGCCGTTGCCGGTGCCCTGGGCGTTGCTGCTCACGGTCACGTTTCCCAAATCAACGTCGCTGGCGCTGTCTATGACGGTTTCGATGCTAGCTCTGCTCCTTACGACCAGAACCCCAAGACCCTCATCGCCTGGTCTACCACCGCCTCCGACAACGGTTTCGTCGCCCCTGATGCCTTCGGCACCGGCGACATCATCTGCCACCGCGATGCTAAGAACGCCAAGGGCCACGCCAAGGTCAAGGCAGGCGATCAGATTTACATCAAATGGGATACGTGGCCAGAGAGCCACAAAGGCCCGGTCATTGACATGTTGGCTTCTTGCGGTTCTGCCGGTTGTGAGTCCGTTGACAAGGAGACCCTCAAGTTCTTCAAGATCGACGAGGCTGGTCTTGTCAAGTCCGGTAACCCCGGTACTTACGCCTCTGATGAGCTGATTGCCAACGACAACGGCTGGCTCATCGAGATCCCCGAGAACATCAAGCCCGGTTCTTACGTTCTCCGTCACGAGATCATTGCTCTCCACGCCGCTGGCCAGGAGAATGGTGCTCAGAACTACCCTCAGTGCTTCAACCTCGAGATCTCTGGTTCTGGCTCTGAGCTCCCTGAGGGCACCCTCGGAACTGAGCTGTACAAGTCCACCGAGAAGGGCATCGTCTTCGATCTTTACAACAACCCTACCAGCTACCCCATCCCTGGCCCTGCCATGACCATCAAGTCCCCCAAGGTTACCCAGGGCAAGCTCGCTGAGAAGTCCAAGGGTACCCCCACCACTGGCTCTGGCTCTGGTTCTGACTCCGGCTCCGGCTCTGCCACCCCTGAGACTCCCGCTCAGACTGAGGCTCCCGCCGCTGGTACCTCCGCTGCCGCCCCTGTTGCCACTTCCGCTGCCGCTGAGGAGCCCTCTGCCCCCGTCGAGACCTCACCTGCTGCCCAGGAGTCTGCCACACCTGTCCAGACTGAGGCTCCTGCCGCTACCAAGCCTGCCAAGACTGGCTGCAAGGCCAAGCGTGGCATGAAGGCCCGCCGTCACGCTCGTGACCTCATGAACTAAGCAAACCACTAAGCGTGGTGGTGTATGAAAGGTCTTTTTTACAAGGACAAAAGCCTGTCTATCCTGAATGGGATGAATCTTTGAGTATTCTGCTGTATATATGTGACCTCGAGTCCAAGATATAATTCAATTACATTGATTATCATTCACTTGATCGTACCAAATGCCTATGTGGCCTGTCTATCGTTTTCTATTATTTTGTAACGCTGCTTGCTCTAAAGTCTGGCATAAAACACACTGCCTTGTGAAGTTTCCCTGGCTCAATGTTAATAGATATGGAAACGAACAACGTTACTGTCTGTATGCAATACGCCGAGTAGTGGCACTCATACCAAAAACCCCTTTGTAGTGCTTCCCGTAGGATAGATATGGTGAAGCCTCGAAGTTACATCTGTCTTCGTCTGTCTGAAACTCTTAGCTGATCAATAGGCTCTAATAGCGATCTTAGAAATATTATACATTGTGGAAAGTCCTCAAACATTATACTATGTCACGAAAGATGCTCATCGAGGGTACTGGCATGATTCGGCCATGAGCAGGGAAGTGTATTTCTAGGACTAAGGCTAAAGTCATAATCGTAATCATGGTTCTAACTATGTACAGAGAATCTCAAGGTATCGCATCCTAAAGGTCATTCGCACGCCTCCCCTTCTCCTTCTCGTACTCCTCCAACCAAACCTTGGTGAAGTCAACAATATCCTGCTGAGCTTTGGCAACAGCGGGAGGAGGGAGCCCGATCTCAGTGGCGTTAGGGTCTAGACCGTTTTCATCCCAATGGTGAACACCGTACGGGATGAGGATGAATGGCTCGCTGGCAGTTGACTTTCTGGGAGCAAGACCGATTGCGTGAGGTGTAGCGGCTCTCCAAGGATCGTATTCACCGTCGATGAAGGCCACGCGTGGGTAGCTAAAGTTCCAGCCACCAAGTTTGTTGATAGACTTGACATCAGGTTCTGCTGTGATGTTGAACTGCTCTCGGCAGGGAATGGTGCTGAACTCAACATCGATGAGGCGAGAGACGAGCGGAAGCTGGTTCTTAGGCACCCCGGAGCCGGTTTGCCAGTATCCCCATTGCGTGCATGTCTGATAGGCCCACTGGCGCCCGCTGGATGACGGGTTAAGACTAGTGCTGCCATACATTTCGCGAATAGAGTAGCATTCATTCAGAGTCTGGCCTTGACAGCCTCCCTGCTTATCAGACTCCACGTTTGACCTCATGTAACCGATATAGTTGAGGAAACGGTTCGTCAAGTACTTGACGTCGTTCTTATTGGCATGAGCTGAGAGCCACTTCTTAACATATGGCGCAAGAGACCTGGTGCTTGCATAGAGAATAGCATCAGAAGAAACACTGCCGCAATAGATGCCGAAGTCAGATGAGTCCTGTGCAGGGTCCCAGTTATTGCCTTGTAGCCCTCCGATTCCGCGAGCAATGGCGTTTGCGAAGTCGTCGTCGCGTAGACCAAGGAGACCGAATGCGATCTTGAGCTGTTTCTTCTCCTCCTTGTCGCTTCCAGTGAGGATCTTGTCGACAACCTGAGTGAGCTTTTGTGTGACCTTGGCGCAGTCGCCGGGTGCGAAAAGTCGCGCAGCCTCGAAGTACTCCCAGTAGTCGATGATAGCCTGGGTGACACCAGAAGAGGAGATACCACCCCAAAAGACATCGGGGTAAATCTTTCTGGCGAAAGCAGCAAATGCACCAGCGTAGGATCCGCCGTAGATGATGTAAGGCGTGTTGGAAGCGGTCAAATTGTGCTTCTCCAGACCCGGAAACTTGACATTCTCGGCAAAGTACGCCGTATCAGCGAGAGCCTGCTCAGTGGACAAGAAACGCAGGTTCTTTGTCTTGAGATCGGGAACAGGGAAACTGGTGCCATAATAACGATGCTCGAGGATGACTCCAACACCACCCGTCGCATTGGCCAGCATCTTCAGGATGCCATGTTCGAGGAACGGAATTCTGTCCTCGCCTGAAGTCTCACCAGAGGCAAGAATAATGACCGGTCCGCCCTCGCGATAGTGCTGCGCGTCGAACCAATATCTCAAGGGAAACTTCTTATCCGAGTGAGGTTCATACTTGGTCTCATTGTGGAAATGATCGACGGGAACCGAGATATTGTGAACTTTTATGGATCCAGAGTCCGAGTCGGCTCGAGCGGACAGGGCCGGGATACTGTACGCGCTTCCTCTAGCGGTGAGCGCCAAGAGGGCAGCGGAAGCGCAGCCAGCAAACCACATACTTTCTGGTGATGGCGATATACAGACAGTATGTTCTTATTTTGGTAGAGGTATAAATCGCGGGGGGGCTTTAAGCTTCTCATATAGTTTTGCGATACGGCCAGCCACCTTCCTGTTTCAGATTAATAAGAGCATCATGGTCACACTGAAAAACATAAGTTCCGTTGCATTTGGAGCAAGGATCTCCATTTATATCCATGGGAAGGAACCTTTGTAGATTGATGAATCACGGCATTTTCGAGCCGACTGTTACCCTTATCTGCTGCTGCCTGTCAATTGATAGAGCAGCATAAACCCCCGCCTCGTCACTGTGGTGATGTGGATAAACTCTGGCGTGATTCACGCAAGGTTTATCGGCTTCAACGGACACAAGCACGCTACGTGAAGTCAATTGCCACTGATCTTGGTAACATGGGTGATATACTGAATACTGTTGTAGAAACTTACACTAGACGGACCAGAATGTCATCAGACGATTGAGCCATTACTCAGTCCTGACAGCAGATAGTCGGGATGCTCCGTCTATTCAGAGTTTATTGGCTTGCATGATGTTCGAAACCTTCTGAAATTAAATGCAACAGTTAAGCGACATCGCTCGATATATGTGTTGTCTTACATATATTGACAAATTGTGCAGAGTAGTAGGATAAGAACTCTCAAGAACCCCTATAAGAATGATCTGCGCCAAACAGGTAACGCAGGCGAGGATACCAAACACAAGGCGCTGTGGCATACATCTCCTCTTATCCGACATCCGTAATTGAAACGAGAGGCATTGGAGCTGTCTATATATGCTCTATTTGGAACAGCCATACTTGTCACCCAGTTCACGAAAAACCTCCAACATGTCAACCTTTCCAGTCACGGTATTCTCATCAGCCTCATACTCCATGGCGACCAATCCACCTGGTAGGGACGATTCTATCATTTCCATGAAGTCTGAAATGCAATGCTCAGGCATGATCTGTCTGAAGAAAGCCTTCAAATCTTCACCTTGCGCAAGTCTGAGCTCAACCTTGTTAGCAGTGATTTCCTCAAACATGTCTCTCAGGTCGATTGAGCTGTAGGCACGAGGACCAAAGACCTTGATCACTTGCGGGCTGGGGCTCTCAAGCTTGGTGAGCAAGTTCTTCGCACAGACTTCGCCAACGTCCTTGAGACTGACAATTGGGACCTTGAAATCCCTTGGTGCGATCCATGATGAGATTGTTGGCGGATCTCCCAAAGGCATTTGAAACATGTACTCAAACTCCTCTTGAAAATGAGTTGACTGAAGGATAGTCACTTCAGGCACAGAGCCCTTGAGAATGTTGTCGGTGTGATGATTCAAGCGGACAAAGCCCTGCATCGTCAGCATCGACACGGATGGCGACTTGGCCACGCTTACTTACGATACCATGGTCATTTTGGGACCCCAGACCAGACAGAACAACGAGCCTCTCGACGCCTGATCTCTTCAAGGCACCTTTGACGTTGTTGGCTGTTTGCTTGGCCCATTCGCTCTGGTCGATGTCCTCATAAGTCGGCGGCGGGACATAGAGAACGGCATCAGAATTGCTGAAATCAAGACTATCCTCAGAAGCAACATCGCCCTTGACTGAACTGAAGTTCGGGTGGCTTGTGTGTTCATCTGGAGCTTTGGAGGTATCGCGATAGATGCCACGGATAGTAAGACTGGCTGGAGAGGCCAGAAGTATGCGGATGGCCTCTTTTCCAACCTTCGTTGAGGCTGGAAGAACAGTTATATGAGTAAACATCTTGGAGGTAGGGTCGGGTGTTGTAGCTGCTGTTTTCAATTCCTACGGTTGTCGAACTGACTCACGTATATTTATATGTCTTGAGGCCCGTATGAAGACGGGCACGGAGACATTAAAAGAAGAGAATACCAAGAAATTTGCTAATTTTATGTATTCAGCTGAAAGCCGTGGCACCTCGAGAGACTTGACACTATTAGGATTGGGTAAGCGCACTTATTGAGTACATCCGTTCCGCCAGTTTACGGAGGTCACAAAGAGGACGACCACGTTGCCAAAACTTTCTCAATATCGCTGTTCATTCTTTAGGAGACGGACCACCGATAATGGATGCAGCGTACTACAACCCGAGCTCTCACACAGAGCTGGAAAACATAACCTGATGCATATAATTGGCCAAATTCATAAATGCAAGAATCGATGGATGCTGAAGTCAGCCGCCAGATGTGAGGCTTGTAACCCCTCATCGACATGGCCATTACATCAGCATATGACATATAGAGTTATTCATGTTCATACAGGGACTGGAAAGATATTTGACATTTCGTATGAGAGGGCGATTCTGCATTCCTCTTGCACTTAGCTGGTCACGAACCTTTTGCCTCGCCGCCGTCCCACAACAGATCCATCAAGTGTAAAACAGCTACAATAAATCTTGCCACGTACCGGAGGAGCTAGAGGTATGAAGTAGTAGAATCCTCACCCTTCAACGAACAAACTCTTGGCAGATTTCATGGTACGCCTATTCTGAGATCTAGAGCTTGAAATTTACTACAACGCAGTGCATTCCTGTCAGCCACTCGCCTTTTGAGGCCATGTCCGGGGGAACGAAAAGCAAAGACGTGCCGACGTAGGCTGGCACTTCATTTCTATTGGAAACAATATTCATTTAATAATAGAAGAAATGGGGCTAAGCTCGAGCCGAGCAGAGGCTTTTCCAGATCGTGACAAGAAGTTGAGTATCAGGTATGCTTGTCACCTCTCGCCTCACTGAGCGGCCGACATCAAACGCTGATAGATCATTGTAGCCTTGCCACTTAAAAGTCTCTCACAATAGACATCCGGGGCTGTCACTTTCATGTCGGGATAGAGCTCCGTTGCATCTACATATCCCAAGTACCGCGCGTACTCTGGGGTATTATACCCTCGAATTCCGAGTGCGTTGAAGTATTGGTACTTCACTACATCAAAGTAGTCGAATGAGTCCGCAGGCGGGCAATTAGCCTCTGCTCTAGCCACTCCCTCCATGACCGCGGCCTCTGAGATCTACAAGCCCAAACCTGATTAGTACAGCACATCGTTCTGGCTCATCGATTCAGATGAGAAAAGAAACTTACGTAGTTGCGCTCAATCTTTTCACCACTGGCCTCTTCCAACAGATCGTATGCTTGGTTCATTGTCAGAACCGTGTTGTAGGCAAAGACCATCTTGTTCAGGGTCCGAGGATCTGCGATAATGCGAGCGATCCATCTTCCAATATCTGGCAGATCTGTAAAGGCACAGGGGGTGTTTCCGTCACCTGGAATACCCCCTAGAGTGATTGGCAAGGCATAGTCAACACGGCCGGAGGGCAAGCGAGGTAGCATCAACTGATACCAGTAGCCGATATCGACAATAGTGTAAGGGAGTTTGACTTTCTTGACATGATTGATCACCTGCTCTTTCTTTTTCATCTGTCAGCGGTAGAAGCCGTGTAATACTCAGGTGGACTTACGATATCCCTCAGCTCTAAAATACCTCCTGCTGGCATAACCGGGGCGAAACAGCAAGGCAAGAAGCGCTTGACACCCGCGGCTTGAGCGGCATTGATGAGCGGGGTTTGCGCAAGGAGGCCGGTAGCACTGATTGCTGAAATAACGGTATTTATACCATCGAGGACTCGCGCGAGTTCATCCTCAGGGCCACTTAGATCCGCAGCTACAACGTTGATTCCCTTCTCTTTGAGAGCAAGTGCCTCAGGTTTCTCTAGTGAGGATTTACGGACCAGTGCAGTAATCTCCTAAGTGCCGGGTAGGTCAATATAATTCTTACGCCAAGAATGAAATGTGACGTACATATCGCGGCTCGGTTGAGTCAAGGAGGGCGTTCAAGATGGAGGTGCCCGTCTCACCAGTGGCACCGAGGATCGCGACCTTCATCTTGCGGACAGACACAGAGCTTGAAAATGAGAAAATTGCCTAATATTATCGAGTAAATGTGCCAATACTGCCACAGTTGATAGAAATGAGGTTGCTTTAGAAAGTGAGCACTTCGAGCGAAGATTAGCTTAAATTCCAGATAACTAGACTAAGTGCTCGGAGTTGCAGAGTGCGGAGCGCGGAGTACGAACTATTGCATCCTAGGAATGGGAGTTAGCAACTCAGTAACCGAAAGTTTAATTTTATAGCCAGCAAGTAGTCGCATAGATAGAGGTCTAGAGGGTGGTCTGGGCGGCAGCGAATTGCGGACTTCAGAGTACGGAGCGGAGTTTGGAAGCCACTATAGTCCACTGTTGAGGAGTTGAGCATAAACGAGGAAACACTGGACTATGATACCATGCAATAAGCCTTACTCAAGAAGGATGATTATATATCGGCTGGAAGATTTGCGATGGACTCACTGAGGTCTAAGTTCTCTGCGCTGGTATAAGGCCTCAACAACAGATCTCAACTGCAAATAACACAAAATATCTGGCTTATAACTCGAACGGTCTAGAAGTAGTTTGTAACTTGCCACGCTGAGATTGTCTCATTCAGGGCTGTCATACATGGTCAACCAACAGAAGTAGATTCGGCGTAAAGGTCAATTTGCTCACTGTGGCTTTGATATAGTCTAGATATGCCCGACAACATTGGTAATTCCATCTTTAACGATGGAAACTACGAGCTTTCCAGAGTTTCGAGAAGCAGCAATTTCTGATCTCAAATATTTGTCTCACTTTTCTCTTCTGGCCAAGACGTTCCAACACTGCAACTTCAATTGGCTAACTGATCCTGTCCTCTTGTCCCCAAGATTCACAATCAGGTATCAATCACTGTGAGTTTAAAGGTAGCAGATCTACTCCGCAAGGATGTATAATACGCTACACGCATTGGCCTTGTCAACTTTGACAAACAGGGGCCAGTGGATGTGCGAACGCCTCCAGATTTTGGGGCGGATCGCTACTTGGCGGACAGAGAAGGAAGGATAGCGTTTGATGTCAGTGCAAGCCATTTGGAGACAATTGATGAACAAATAAAAATAAACACATTTCAGCCAAGAGTTTGCTTCATATTGAAGAGTCAATTGAGCTGGAGACTAGTTGTGGATCGTGGCGTGTAATGTTGGTCAAGTCGATTTACGGCTTCACACGAACAGTGTCGGCAGCAATACAGACTTACATGGTATTGCAGGCCGATGGCAACAGGAAAATGAAGAGAAAAATGATGTAATTGGACCAAGTCAATTGATTTCCTTGAATAATAGTCTCAATTGAAATGCTCCGACGACTGACGTGCAGTTGATCAATACAACCTTCCAAGACCATCGAATCTCTTTATCAAGATATCGCAAGCCGATTGAACCGAATTCTTGGCGGTCTGACAGATCAGGGACTAATAATGTAGCAAGAGAGAAGTGGTGCTATTGGCATGGCAAGAGATGACGACGCCGCCGAGGCCCCATTTTCTTGGGTCTGACGAGCATGGGGCTTGGCATGACAAGGTTTGCATCTAACGGAGAAGCCACAACTCTATCCTACGTAGTATCCAATGGGCCCAGCAGACCCAGGCTTAGGCCTTTGGTAGGCTAAGCGATGACATCTGCCAACGCTCTGCGCCTTCCGGGTCATGGCTTGGAGCTGAAGTGGCGTCATACGGAAACTATCGATGAATCCAAGTTTATCGCCTTTCAACTAACTTGACTAAAGGTTGCAACGCCGAGATGGAGATGTCATACATGGCATTGAAGACTATATATACTGCCTCTGATTCCTTTAATCACAATTCATTATCGTCATCATCATCATCAATAACAAACCGCTAAATACTACCAACTCAAATCCTGCAAATACCCACTACCAGATACCTTATCAACAAACTCTAAACACATCCAAACTCGGTAGAACCTACGACGAGTTGTCTCCACGCCAAATCAGCAACAAACTCAATCAACACAAAGGCTACAACTCAAACCACACACACACACAATTACAATCACAATGTGTCTCCCTTTCGGAAGAAGCCAAACCCGCTATAGCTCAGGCGGCGGTGGAATGATGGGTGCTCGCCCTGTCAAGGAAGTTCACCACCATCACCACGGCGGAGGTCGCATGGGCGGAGGCATGGGAGGAGGCCGCATGGGAGGCGGCGGTATGATGGGAGGAATGGGAGGCGGACGACGCATGGGTGGAGGTATGGGAGGTATGATGGGCGGCGGTAGAAGAATGGGAGGACGACGATGCTAGGAGCAGAATCGGCAGTGGAGACGGGCTGGATGTCAAGGCCAGGCACAGCGACAACGATGGAGGGGACGGACGGGTTAGACTTCCACGTCCATGCCTGCCACAGAGACAACCATTGCCACACCCTGTTTGTTGATTCCAGGTGCAACAACAACAACAATGGGTACGGGCCTGGTGTCTGCGCCATGCGCGGCAACAACAATCCAGATGCCCTGTACATCGTGACCAGGTGCAGCAACGAAGATTGAGATCTTGACACAGCCTGGGCGTCGATATTAGAAGATGAAATCCTGTATTATTAAAGCGACGGTATGAATAAACGACTAAGAGAAGCCTTTCATGCAAAAGAGAAATATCCCTTCAACTCTACTATGAGAAATCCATTATCGTGCTTGCGTCCCTCGTGATGGATCGAGTGGAGTATTGATTGAAGAAGAGCCGATACTATTCGACACTTCTCGGTCTACCGTGATCAAATTACTATGTCTCTCTAAGTGCATGAGTTGCGACATTAGAACTTCAATTCCCTTCTTCGTATTCCTCTCTGCATCCAATCCTCCGCCGGTACTTGCTGGGTAGCACAATGAATTCCTCCGCCGAGCTTAGGAAGAATGTTCAAATCAACTTGAACAATCTCTCGATCTGGGAAATGTTGGCGGAAAAAGGCGTAGGCATCATCATCAAGTTTTCCAACTCCGAAACGCGGCATGATCAGGCCTCCGTTCGGGAGGTAGTAGTTGGCGTATGAAGCAACAGTAACATCAAAATGATCCCAATTCTCGCCGGGAAGGTCACTGGGATGAGGCTCTTCAACTTCAAAGACTTCTATTTGTCTTCCTCCATGATCTTTTGCGTTCCCCAAAGTTTTCTTGGCTTCTCTATAGGCTTGGATCATCCGCGGATCAGCACGTTCTGAAGGTCTGCTCAGAATAACCTGGCCCGGTTTGATGAATCTCGCGAATGCATCGATGTGAAAGTCAGTAATATCATAGCCTTTGACGCCAGTAAGCCAGATCACTTTCTGGATGCCGAAGTATTTCTCGAATAATCCTTCCAGCTCTTCCTTCGATCTGCCCGCATTACGGTTCTCATTGACGATAGAGCTCTCAGTCGCTAGAAGGGTTCCATCCCCATCGACCTCAATCGCGCCTCCTTCGCTAGTGAAACCGGTGTCAACGATAGGTATGGCATTTTCTTGAGGCGCACATTCATCTTTTTCATCCTTCTGGTCTATGACTGAAGCTTCTGGGATCTGGATATTCGCAGCAACCGCTTCATCACCAGTGGATGGTACCTTGGCTCCCCAGTAATTGAAATTAAGTTTCAGTCCAATAGAACAGCCATTTTGCGTTCCATGAACAAAGACCGGTCCTGTATCGCGGATCCAAAGCTCGCTCACAGGCAGTGGTCGCACGGTGACATTATCAGACACCGTTTCAGATGCTTCATGAACGCGTTCCGGGCGGGTAAACATTGTGACTGGCTCGAAGCGGGAGATGGCATTGGAAAGTGCCGAGACTTCCGCGCGCGCCTGTCGAAGGATATTCTCCTCTATAATCGAGGCGGGAGACGGCCACGCAGTTAGCGTTTGCGAGTGCTTTTGCCATTCTGGCGGCATGCGATACCTCCCAGAAATTCTCTGCATCTGGCCTGGATCCATGAAACCCTTGGATGGAGATTTGATGGATCTTCGAAAGGACGCAAACATGAAAGTCAAGCGTTCTTCTGTCTTCGTTTATGTGTTAAGGGGTTGAATTGGGGGAGGAGTTGGGCTTTAATTTATGTATTTCTTGGGTTGGACGATGGGGATGTGAGCTCCGCAAAGTCGTATTAAAATAGTAACAATGTCGCAGAACTTTTGCTGTGATACGGTCACATCATGAAGGCTGTACTCCTCAAGGACTTTTAGGACTCCTGTACACTTTCAGTATTGTCACGTGATATCGCACAGGATCCGGTAACACGTCGCGTAACCTTAGCTTGGGCTTATACTCCTTTCATTTTCTCCACGGCCTTCGAGGCTCCCACTCTTGCACCCAAACATCTTCTTCCCGTTATTTGATCATGTCCACCCGGAGAAGCGCCAGGCTCCACGCTTTGCAGGACCGGGCGCCTACAAGCGCCCAAGATGACTCCAGCCCGGACATGCCTAGCAAAACAGGCAAGCGGAAAGGAACAGTGAGCGAATTGCACGAAAAGCCCCTCGTCATCAGTAATGCGAAAAGACACGTCGCCAGCAACGATGGAACGCCAGCTAGAAAGAAATCCAGGGCAGAAACTAGTCGTAAGAAGGCTGAAGAGTTGTCCGCGAAGTCACCAACCAGTACAACAACCGACCTTCTTTGGTCCTGTCCACGAGAGATTCTGAACTTGATTTTGGACCATGTGAGATGAACACCATCCACTACTCAATTAGCGAAGTGCTGAACGGAATCAGATTGAGGATACTAGAACGCTCGGAAGACTCTGCTGCACAAGCAAGAGTTACTTTGCCATGGTTGCACCTCGACTCTACGAGCGCGTTAATATCTCTGTAGCGTATCACGCTCATATTCCCAAGTTAATCCGAAGTCTTGAGCCTTTCCTATCTATTAATCAAAGAAAGCAGCTCAGGAAGGAGGGCCAGTATCGAGGTCAACAAGAAAGCTTCCCCAACGTTGTTGATCCTCAAAAGAAGCCTCGTTTTGGGGAGTACGTCCGCCAAGCCTGTCTTTTCATCGGCGACCCAGGAAGAAACCACAAGTACATTGTAAATCGATATGTCGAGGAAGCTCTGAAGAACATGTCCAATCTTGAGGTCGTCGAAACCTCCAGCATCACAGAGTATGCCAATTCATCCCTGCTACGAATTTTCCAGGCTAACATGATACAGATCTATCTCTAAGAGTCTAGCAAGCCAAAAGAATTTGAGAGCCTTGAATGTTTCTGCCGGAAACTTGGGAGAAAGCGAAGCCAAACCGCTAGCCAAAATCAAAGATCTCAAACACTTGGCCATTCATCTGCTCGGTTTTGCTAGCCCCAACTTCCGAAAAGATAATACTCCATTATCTTTGATTCTCAATTCTAGAACAACCCTTCGGAGTCTGGTCATAGAGACTGGATCGTTCAGCTCTGTGTTCTTGGATGACTGGCCGAAAAGCAAGAGCCTTACCTCACTCAAATCTTTCTCTCTTACGGGAGCCACTATTGATGGAGACTTTTTGAGCGCTCTAGTAAATGCTGTCGACTTTGTTGCGCTGGAAGAATTGAAGTTTGGCTATCTCTCACATGACCTGAAAATATTGTTTGAGTATCTCAGCGATGTCTTCTCGAAGGCCCAGGATAATCACAACTCCAAGATCAAACTGCGCAACTTGAACATCGAAATGGGAAAAGAAACTTCTTTCGCGGTACCCGAGGAGCAAGAAGCGCACGTAGACGCCAGAATCGACTTTATATCGTCTTTCGACACTTTGACTTGTCTGGAGCTGCATGACTACGGCCAATACCGTCAAGAGATCACGGTCAATCCTGGTCTGAAGAGCTCACTCGTCAGAGCTATTCTCAAACATGAGAACCTGACCAAGCTGAAGATATCCTACAGAGGTGTCACGAGTGGCTACAAAATAACGTCCTTGGAGCCTGACACGGTCTCGACTCTGGTTGATAGCCTTCCAGAGTTGAAGGTGTTTGAGTTTATTCCAGAACCAACCAAACTGGTAAGTACTGAAACCCGTGAACGAGGAAACATTGCTAATACAGAGACAGGCAGAAATTGCTAGAATAATATGCCGTGGCCGCAACCTGACAACCGTCACTCTTATTACCGGCGGCTCATGGTCGAGCTTAGCTCAAAATCAGGAGAAGGGCTTGGTGCTTCTGCATTCAATATTCGACGAAGTTCTGAAGGGAGATGTGAACAGCGACGTGGGAGTTTTCAAATGGGAAGACCATAGCAAGATCACTCGCGTGGCCATGGATTGGATGATATGGGAAATCGGATCGAAACTCGGCAAGGCCAAAAAAGGAATGAAAAAGGCAAAGAAGATGAGCGTTGCAGTTGGAAAGCAGAAGCGAGAGGTCTTGTATCGTGATATCGCGGATTTCATTCGCGTCCCTCTTCTCAATGGGCTTGGGAGCAAATGGGTAGACAAGGTTAAGAACGATATCAAATAATTTGGATACATGCAGAAATGTTAGGTATCAATAAATCTGAAGCGCTTTGAACATTTGGATTTGTCAAAAGTCTAATCCTTCGGTAGTCCGAGATTCATCAGTCAACCACTGTCGGCATTGATTTGAAGACGCGAAACGCCATGTTGATGCAGCGATATTTATAAGCAGTCTAGCAGATGACGTAACGAGGCAGAGCGATTATGCCACTTTAAACATTCAACTTTCTATTTAATTCTCATGATCTTTTCACAATCAAGTATCTCTTCTATCTATCAATTCATCCATCCAATACACAGTCACCCGATTATCGCAATGTCATCCAAGTCCTTCTACGCTCTCATCGCTGGCGTTGGCCCTGGCACTGGTAAGCTTACCCCTCCTTTCAACCCCCCCTGCTTACTGATCTTCAATCAGGTCGTTCCGTCGCTCTGCGGTTCGCTCAGAAATACCCAGTCGTATTGCTTGCTCGCCGACCTGAGAGTTATGAGAGCACTCTTGCGGATGTTCAGAAAGCGGGCGGCAAAGCAATCGGAGTCTCCGCTGATGTAGGCGACGCTGCGTCTTTGAAGAAGGCTTTCGAGACAATCAACAAGGAATTACCAAATAGTCAACTCGCAGCCGCCATCTACAACGTTGGAAGTGGCGGCTTTGCTAAGAAACCGTTCTTGGAGCTAACAGAGAATGACCTGAATGCCAGCATTGATGGATCCATGTATGTTATTCTGTTGAGCTGAAGATACACCCAACTAACAACAGAAAGCCGGGCATTCTTCAACTTTGCACAAGCAACTATCCCTCATCTTCTTGAAGCAGTACCAAACTCTCACTACCCTCCTACTCTAATCCTCACTGGCGCCACAGCTTCGATTAAGGGCTCCGCGCAGTTCAGTACCTTTGCAGCTGGGAAATGGGGCCAACGCGCGATGCATCAATCTCTTGCCCGTGAATTCGGTCCAAAGGGTGTCCATATAGCTCATGCTGTGATTGATGGAATTATTGACATCCCACGCACGAAACAATGGGCTGCTAATGACGGTGTCGAGGATGGAAAGATTAGTCCCGATGCGGTAAGTTGAACAGAGCATTTAATTCGGAAATTACTGATGAAATTTGCAGATTGCTGAGGCTTATTGGAATCTTCATACTCAACATCGCTCTGCTTTTACCCAGGAGATCGATATCCGACCATACGTTGAGAAGTGGTAGAAGTTACGATGGCAGCCTCATTATTGATCGTCATCGCTATTGGACAAGTAAAACTTCATGTGGTAGTAAAGCGTGCCTTTCAAGTTCCATGAGATAGCTTTATGAGGGTTGCAGAAACTGAACTGAATCGCAATTTGTAATCACATCCATGATGCTACTCACGCTTACGTCTCGCCCTTTGGCCATCATCTACAGAACAAGTTAACAACAACCCGACCCCGCATTTGTGGCCAGTATCAGGTGGCACAACCTCCATTCAAACACTTCCATATGCGTAATAACTTGACTTCCTTTTGCATTCATTAATAAAGAATCATCAACTGGCTAACAATGCCTTTCTACGAAGTCCACCACTCTTGTGCTCTTACACAGGGACAACGTCAAAACTTAGCGACCGCAATTACGAAGCTTCACTGCGATGCTTTCAAGACTCCAGCATTTCTAGTCCACGTACGCTTCCTTGCAGAAGACAACACCGACAACACTTACTTTGTCGCTGGAAAACCTCACCCTCTAACATCAAACCGCATCTCTGGAAATGTTCGCACGTCTGCAGCCCGATCGAAAGCAGATTTCGATGAGCTCGGTGCAAAGATAGAAGCAGCTTGGTATGAAACGCTCCAAGTCACGTCGCCAGCTGAGAAGTCCACATGGAGCGACGAAGATGAGAAGACTCGATTGATTATGGTGAAATTTATACCGCTAGTCACGATTCGCGAGGGCGGAATGGCCGCGCCTCAGGCGGGCGAGGAGGAAGCGTGGCTTAAAGAGCAGCTGCCTCACATCGAGAGCATGGCTAATAAGGGCCTTGAGGACTTTATTGACTTCTGGAATGAAATGAAGGAGAACAAGGGGCCTATGAGTGATATGTTATAAGGACAGTAATGTGATTGCGGAGCTGGATTTGATGGAATTCGTGGTGAAGAAATGCGATTCAAGCCTGTATGACAAGATCCTGTTGATGTATCAGGCAAAACAGGAATTGGCATTGATAGGTTAGTACCTGCTATAGCACTGTGTAGGAAGTTGTGGAGAATATTCCGATCAAAAGAACCCTACTACCTAGTATATGGCTGCGTCTGAAATCTTGTCGTTCAATGGCTTCGAATGCTAAATGTGGCTAGCTGTGAGAGCCTGTGACTGGAGAAAGGCAGGCTGTAGAAAAAGGTTGAGCACTATAATCGATGGAAGAAAACACCCTACCTTGTTATGAGATGTCAAGAAAACCCTAGCAAAGGGAATCCTAAACTGTCGTAAATTTACCGAAGCCTTTTTGTCACTTATGATAAAGGTACTAAGTGTCTTGCCTCCCCTAGCCTCTGCCTAAATAACCGAAGGTTTGAACTGGAAAGTATCGCAACGTATGCCGAAAAGTTGCAATACGGGATTTCCACGACCTTAGGCTTGAAGGCTGAAGTCAATATGAACTGGTTGCGACGCCACTAAAACCTTTTACCCGAGTTCAGTAAATGATATTGCATATCGTGGAAGGTTTCACTGCCGCCTTCCCGGCTCAGTATATGCTATTGGTGGATTTCGTTCCTTTGCGAGCGGATAGACCGACAATGGCATGATCGAGTTGAATCTGTTAAGATTGACTTTCTACAGGGTTGAATATAAGAACTTGAGGTATCGCCATGTTTCAAGGTTTTCGTATGCTGACCTCCAACGACAATAACTGCTCTACGAATCCTAGCAAAATATTTTATAAAACCATGTCCCGCCTAGAATTACGCTGCCAAGGGGAATCGGATTGGTGGCTAGATGGGCCTTATGGGTCAGTCAAATTTGCTTCCGAAGGAGCTGTAGACTCGTTCGTCCGAACCATGTCCGAAGGCCCTGATGCTTTGAAAGACCATCTGATTTCTGGCGCTGTGTTTTCGTGCACAAAGTCCGGAAACGTCGATGCAGCAGAGATATTTTCCGCTTTATGGCTCGAATCATCGAACGGGTTTACTGTTGCTGGCGCCAGTACCTCTTTTCTGGCGCATGATCAGGGCGCAGAAGATGTTATGAGCTGTATTTCTTAAGCAGGACGTTGGTTGACTGGAGTTGCTCATCCGGAAAGTAAGTAACGAGTCTCTGCGTCGAGACAATCGCTAATTGATCAAAGGTGTTACCTGCTATGTCAAAGCAAATTCACCTCGTGCGGCCAAACCCATAGACAAATCCGGCCCTCCTCCTCCGCCTGAGCGTAGACAATCAAGCTGCGACACGCTCAAATCAATAGTAGATGGTTAGAATCTTTACATCGATCACAACTCGCAAGAACGTATGATAACCGTGTATGCAGATCCGAAACTATTTGAAGCAGCCATCCAAGCATTAAGACAGCACAGAGCCAAAACCAAAGACAGTTCGTCTTCCAATCTGAAACCCCAAGATTCCCGTGATATAGATGCCACATACATTCTCACCTGGTGGAATCAAACAGGTGGTGATCTTCTCACTCTTTACGATGCTCAAGTGCATCCGTCCTGGATCTTGTCTGTAAAGGCTATGCCAGACAAACATTTCCGTACTGGTTCAACGATTCTAGCATGGTTCTTTAGCAATGGGGCCTTGGCACAGGGCGTGATGGATGGATACTGTATTTGGTATGCACCCAGTGGCTCCTGGTTCGGTGTCAACATCCATTGTCCCGTGCAGTTCCTTGGTATTGGCACTGCCCCTTATTACGAGGTCGCTTGGTCCGAGTGGGGGAAGGAGACGTTTTTTAAACCAGTTGACGAGCCTTTTATGTCTTTTGATTTTCTTCGCTCTCTTGGATATGATATTCAGATCAAGCCTCAGAGTGGACACTCCAGCATCATTGTTGATGTGATCGTTAGCAAGATTCCATAAGAGTCCGACGAGACAGATTTGCGGTATTCGAAGGCTGGCACATCGTATTTGGTCAAATTTGTGAAATATCGAGCTCCTGCTCAGTTTCGCTCGTGTTTCTGTCGAGTACTTTTGTCATTGTTCAGGACCAGCAAAATGCAATCGGTCTCTGACCAGAAAATTATGTCTAGATTCCTTTGTAGCATAGATCCTCAAGTACGTGCGAGTACGTTGCGATCTCTGTCGTGGAAATAAGACAAATGGCCGCAAGGTTAATAAAACTCCCACGGCAACGTCAACAGGGATTAGAATGCATAAAAAGGGGCGCCTTACTAAGAATGGTAGGCGGGCAACCATGGCAAATCTCCAATTGCTACCAAATCTTGACAAATTTCTGGGATGCAGCATGACGGAATCCCCTATCAATATGTACAGTATTCCTAATTGACCTTTCTTGTCGCTCTTTAAACCGATGTAATTGTTTTGTTTCTTGGTAATATTTTCTTTTCTCCTCGTCCCTTGCAGCTATACCTCTCAATGGTCGCTCGATTGCACCCACCGCTGAGCTTTAATTGAGCGCGTCGCCAACTTGGTGAGCATTGAGAATATGTCTCATCACTTCCACGTTGGCGCTGCTACCGGGCAGCATCTTCTCGATCCAATGTCACAGGGAATCGGCATCATGAGGGATGTTGTCTCGCGCTGGTCAGAACTCGATATCACACAGATCGGATCGCTCATTGCTATCGCCGGAACAGTACCTACAGCCTGGAGGTTTCTCCATCGCATATGGCATGAAGTCTATGGTACAATACGGCGTTTCTTTCTCGCATCAGTGACCATTCCTGGTGGCGATCCTCTCAACAGAAGTGTTGTCAAATGGATTCTGGCTAACCGGGAACGACACTATCGTTCATTCCATGGACGCACCGATATCGGACAGAATGGAGATCGCGCCGCAGCCCTGAAAAAGACAAAGCATTCTATCCAGTATTCACCCCACTGGAACACAAGATGGCTATTTTATGAGGGAAACCTGTTTCTTGTGACACGCAGAATCGACGACTTCAGCTCTTCTTTATCGGATCCTAGTTATGACGGTATCGGAGGAGAAGAGATCACTGTGAGCTGCTTTGGCTGGTCGGCTGAGCCCATCAAGGCCTTTATCGAATCATGCCGGGAGTATTCAGATCGGCAAACACAGTTTTTTGTGATTATCTACGCTCGGGATCGCTATGGTCTTTCGTGGAAACCAAAGGCACGGAAACCAATTCGACATTTAGAGACCGTTCACTTCGATAATGAGACGAAACAAGAGCTTCTTGGCGATATTCGAAATTATCTTGATCCCAGGACACAGAAGAGATATCAGAGTCGCAGCATGCCTTATAGACGAGGTTATCTATTTTACGGACCCCCTGGAACTGGAAAGTCATCGTTGTCAGTTGCAATTGCCGGCGAGTTTGGACTGGATCTTTATGAAGTCAAGATCCCTAGCGTTGCCACGGATGCAGATCTGGAACAGATGTTCCAAGAGATTCCTCCTCGTTGTGTCGTCTTGCTCGAAGATATCGATGCAGTTTGGACAGATCGTTCAAATTCAGATAACGGGCAAGAGGGAAGTTCTGCGCCTAACTGCACCCTTTCCGGGCTTTTGAATGTCTTGGATGGCGTTGGTTCTGTTGAAGGCCGCATCATCATCATGACCACAAATCATCCCGAGCAGCTGGATAGCGCATTGGTCCGACCAGGACGAGTCGATATGAAGGTTCTCCTGGGCAACATCAGTCGAAAGTCAGCCGAAGAGATGTTCATCCGCATGTTTTCTCCTGATCTCGGATGCACCTCGCATCTTGATATGGATGAGATCAAGAAGCTGGCTACGGAGTTTGGGGAAAAAATTCCTGACGATACGTTCACGCCATCGTTATTACAAGGCTTCTTTCAGTTACATTTGGAGAGCCCTCGAGAGGCTGCTTCAAGTATAGGAGCTTGGGTTAAAAGGGAGCTCGATAGGAGTTCGGAAAAGGAGTTTGAGCTTATTACTGGTAAGAGAAAGCTATAGCGTTAACTTAATGTGTGTATTATGTACTGTTAGATCATTGGATTGTACGATAGGGATGCATTCTTTGACAATTTATCTATCCCATTCCTGCGGTCCGTTAGAGGGTACTCTAGTTCCGGTATCGCCTTCTGATTTCCGACTGTCATCAGAGTCAGGTTGACTTGTTCATATACCTTCTCGCTGCATCAAGATCTAGAAGAGTAAGGATATTCCAAAGGTATTAAAGATCGCCGTCGCTATTACATGGCGCAGCACCAGCAGCTGACGATAATCTTGCTGTACTCGCAGCGCTAGCGTCAGAGGCGGGTCGATCGCGTCGCTCCATTGATACCCTTTTGGGATAGGATCATCGTTAGGAGACAGGGCTGAAGATTGGAGCAGCGAAATTGCAGGGAACGATGCGACCATCTAAGACCAATTGGGGAAGATTCACGCGATCAACTGTACAACAAAATGCCCTGGTGGCTGTGCAGCAGTGAGACTGATCAATAAAATGCTGTCTAGTGACATATTCGCCGTAGAAATGTTCTCGAAGGATGCTCTAATGGAGTGCCCGAGGCTCAGACCTGGTTTCGGAACGAGGAAGCTGACGACAGACGTCACTCTAGGCTGCATCAAGCCAGACATCCCATGTATATAAGTGCACGTCATTACCTGATGAGATCTAGGAACCATCCCATCATCACAAACAATTCTACAAGTGAAGTTCTTTTACTACAAGCTGTCTTCTCTTATAAATCACAACTGCATTCACAGCTTGCACTGTCAAACGAAACGAACTTCTCATCTACTCCAGTGCTTCAGCATTAGCAAACAAGTCGCTCATTAACATAAAACACCAACTGAAATACACACACCCCAAAATGTGTATACCACTCTTCAGAAAGAAGAAACACGATCGGGTCTACGATTACCATCCACAACCAGCCATGGGCTACTCAAAGAAATACGGCTACAACAACTACGGATACTACAACGGCGGCAAGAAGTCGCGTAAACAAGGCCGTCACTACGCCTCAGCTGCCGGTGACTTAGCAGGAGCTTGGGCCGATTACAGCGGAGGAGGTCATCATGGAGGAGGCCACAGTGATGGCGGCGGCGGCGCAGATGGTGGAGGTGGAGGAGGCTGTTCATAAACTGTTGTAACACTGGGCTTTGGAGTTTAATGATTGCTGCCTTGTAGAATACTGGCTTGAGCGGGATATATTCGATTTATGCACTATTGTACTTTATTAGACTAGCACACCCGTCTGAGGAGTCTTCGCAACTTGACTGTATACCTTAGTTGAGATGCCCCATCTTTCAGTTGTAACTCATGCCATCTAGTGGCTATGCATTGCAAGTTCTGCCCAAACATCCAATATGCATAATGTGCATCGTTACGTGAGAAATGTCCTACGTAAACCTCAGGGAGGGAGACAATACGGGAGTCTAATGTAAGGTACTAAAATAAGCTGAATAAAGGATATCTTAAATTTGTGTAACCTTACCTAAGTCTTTTTGTCATTCAGGATTAAGGTCATGAGTTTTCTTTCCTTCGCTTGGCAAGTAGCTGAGATTACGGCTTGGCTGCTGAGCCTTGTTGTTCGTGGAATAAGCTGACGACTGCGTGCTCAATTCGAATTTTATGGGCTTCTACGCCTACCAAACACTCTTGGCAAAACGGTGAAGTTGGTATATAAGATTGGCCTGAAGTACGAATGCTCAGAGCTCCAGACTTTTACTAAAATTCCTACGCTGCTTCTGAAACACAAGTGACAACGTCATCCTCCAGGTCAACAGGCTTATCAGACTAATGAAGCTGGACTCTATACCGACTCAATTCACATATCCTTTTCACAAATAATATACGAGCGAAGCCTTTCATCGTCCTCTGCAACAATGTGTCTTCCGTTCTTCAGACGAAAACGAGATGAGAAGGATGATTACTACGCAAACAATTACAATACTGCTAATAACGCCAACCAGGGAGCTGCGTACATCCGACTTCTAGGCGCTGGTCATCACTTCGTTGGAGACTGGGACCAGGGTGGTCATAGTGTTGGGGGCGAAGGCGGAGGCGGGGATGCCGGTGCAGGATGCGACAGCTATGGCTGTGATAGTGGGGGCGGAGGAGATAGTGGTGGAGGAGGTGGAGGATGTTGATGATTCATGAGGATATCCATTCGTACCTGTGAATGAGGGTTTAAGCTGGGCTCGTTGAACGCAGTTGAGACCTTTGACCTCCGAGCAGATTTTGCCAATACAACGCGCAAATGCCTTCGAGAAACAAGCTCTCAAAGTCTACCATTCCCCTTGCAGCCAAATATATTAGCTCGATTTTTTGTTACAACTTGGCTGGAAGAACCTGGTTGAGTCTGGGGGTGAGTGGAGCTATGAACTTATTCTTAGCCACTTGCGCTTAATCTACTCCGTACATGGTTGAATCTGTGTCCGAAGGTAATTGCTCAATTCCGTAAAGGTATTTTAGAGGCAAGAGTAGGCTTTCTGATTAGCTATTGGTTCACATCGGTGCATTTGTTGGGGGCCGGTTGATCATTACTCCACGACCTCACATTCTGGCCAAGATCTTCAAAACTGCATGTAGGCTAACAGCATCAGAGGTAAACTTAAACCAGAAACGCAATGACCGATAATTGTGTTTGCTGCCGCATGGCTTAACACCACTTACGGCTGCATAGCCTCTCAATTGACCAACTACCAATCACTCGTCTCCAAGAATCGGCCCAGAAGCCTGGACGGTTTCAGCAATTATGATGCCTAAAGCTGAGCCTTGGCTTGAAGCAGGGATTAGCGCGCACACTCACGTCATTACTAACGTTGATAGTTTGCTTTTGTCAGTTATCAGAGGATTTATATAAAGGAAAGAGTATCCACTCCATTGAATACCTTGCCGCAAAGATCCATTGCAGACTATGAATGACCCAAAACCTCACGAATCACTCTCATCGATATCGCCTCACTAAAGCTACGCCCTCTATCATTGAGTTCAAAAAATATTCCTGCGTTTCTCCCGAACCTACAACGATGTGTTTGTCATTCTCTACCAAGCTCCAAGATCCTGTTGATCCACCTCCACGCCACTACAAGAACTATGACAGCAAGTACCCGGTTTCTGGCAGCAGTGCGTATTCTCGGCAAAGAGACCAAGCACGCACGAACAAAATCAACGAAATGAACGCGGCCAGCAAAGAAGCCCGTGCCAGAAACAAGAAACAGAAGAAGTCCTTCCTGCTGCGTAACCACGCTGGTGGAGCGAGTTCACTTCATCATGGGAGCATGGCTGGAGCGATTGCTGGCGGTGCTATGGGGGGAGGAGGTGGTGCTGGTGCATTCTGATGGTGTTCGCATAATGTTTCATCACATTTTGCTTGCCTCATGGTTGCTTCGATGCTGACCTACAAGTTGTTATGGTATTGAATCTTATATTTCGCTGGAGATGGGTGGAGTAGTTTCGCAGGATACCGCATGACCTTGCACTCAGTCTCCTCATTCCGAGTCAGATTATGGAAGATACCACTCCGGCATTGCCGACGTGTACATACATTTTGATTCTCTAACATTATACACATATCTCTACTCTGATGTTCCTAGGGGCTTTAATCCTCGGTGAAGACACTCTTTGCTCCCCCGTCAATGGCAGCCCATGCCTTGGTCAGAAATTCCTCAGGCTGGGTAAACTTATACTCGGGCAAAAGTTTATTCCACTCGTCGGAGACCTTCAAAGCACCATGCTTGATTCCGAGAAGGAGGCACTTGATCGTATCCGCAGCAATCTTCTCTCGCATCTCAACTGGAATCGATGGGTGTTCGGGAAGGGGAAGCCATGAAGCTTTGACGATACCAGCTTCGAGGTCCTTGCTCTTCAAATACTCGACTTTGAACTTTTGACCTATGTAAGTGATTAGAATCCTGTCCGGGGTACACTCTCTTTTGGGCTGCCCGTACCTCGAATCTTCTCGCCAAGAGCAACAAGTTCATTCATCGTAATGTCTGTGCCCTTAACACCACTGACAACCGGCCACTCTCCTTCGTATTCTACAGCTAGAGCAGTCACTTTTGCTGCTTCTTGGGCAGATGTAAGCGTTATTACCGCTTCACCATCGTCGATGAGAAGAGCTCGGCGGCCATGAAAGTTGACTGGCGTTTCGAAAAGGTCGACGTGCTTGGATGACTTATATGGGTAGGTCATGTAGTTCGTGAAGAGTCCAAACTGAAATAGCGTGTATTCAATCACCTAAAGCTAAGCATTAGTGGGTCTCGTGTATTGCTAGATGAAGTGCAGTACCTTTTTGTCCTTGTTGAGTTCTGCAAGGTACTCACGTGCAGACCTCTTGAAGTCGTACCAGGGAAAGTAATCCAGGTGAGACCTGTTCGCTATTAGCTACAAACTATGTCATGAAGTCTTTTGACCTACGAAGCCCATTCACTTGGTGCAAAGCGCTTCACGCCCGCTCGGACTGCCGCATCGATCAACTTCTGCTGTGGCCCAGCAGCTGTATCACCAGGGGCGACAGACATAAAAGATAGAACTGTATGAACGCCCTCTAGGATATTGGTAAGTTCTTCGACATTTTCGTATCGAGTTTTGAACCACTTCACCCCAGGGGCGATTTCTGTTTCTGGCGCATCCTGAGATGTTAGTTCAGAAGTGCTAGTCGAGAACCGTTGCATACCTTTCGAGACAGAATAATTATCTCATGCTTGTTTCTAGCGACGAGGGCATCCATGACCTCTTGGCCGACATCTAGAGCTCGGTCAACGACCTCTATCGCAAATAGAGGATAAATAAGACTTACTGCCGGCTCCTCCTGCAATTGCGATTTTGACCATATTGAACCCAACTTGTATGCTTTACCGACACTGGATTATACTCAGACTTTGAGCCATCACTTAAGAAACATCTTTGTCTCTTATATACTCTCTTACACCCCGAACTTCCGCCATTTCATAGGGTCACTGCGTTCGTCCGCCGACATCGTGAACGCCATGAGCTTTATTCCCGGTACTTATATCCGTCTTACCATTTCAACACATGACAAATCCACCTCAAAAGCTCCGAGAAATCGGCGGACGAATACCCAACAGAATCCTTCGAAGGTCAGCTTTTGTCTCTCACTCCGTACACTGTCATACTTTACCATTCTCCTCATTCTATCCTACAATTCAATCATGGGAGAACACATATCATTGGACGAGCAGTACCCATTGCCTAACTCCGCTTCGGCGGAGAGTTCCGCGCCAGCCAAACGCCGGAAGCTACGCAAGGGAACGGCCTCTTGCTGGGCGTGTAAGCGACGGAAAGCGAAATGCGTCTTCTCTGATGATCTCGGTATTTGTGACTCATGCAAGAGGCGTGGTACAGACTGTGTGAGCCAGGAATCTGAGAGGCCGCCCGAAGTTGGAAGCAATAAACACATCGTGGATCGGCTTGGGGAAGTTGAAGCCTTGGTACAGCATCTTCTCAAGAATGCACAATCCGACAAGCAATCCCGAAATGGCTTGGTTTCGCCCTCGATGTCGGTATCGAGAAGACAAAGCGAGGATGGTCATAGAGTTTCGAAGTCACCCGCGGCCGTTAACACCAATGCCGCTTCAACAGATGATGCTTCCCTCTCGGTTAGTCAAGTATCAAGGCATTAAATACAATATGACACTCACAAATGGTAGATACACCCCATAGAGCTTACACCACAGCACGAGAGATCACCACCATCTCACATTCCCGATGATCCAGGACCCCACGATGCTGTGTACCAAGCCCTAATATCTGCTTGGCCAAGCGCAGAAGACATGAAAATAATTATGAGCGTCCCGGTGGAGTCCTCGCAGATCATCAGAGCGATGACATGCGCACCGCCAAAGGAACGCGGCTCAAGGCTCCCATCTCCGTCGAGCTTGCTTCGCTTGCCACCACGAGGAGCTCATCCTGTTCTCGTCGCTAGGAAAATGCTCGTACTCTCCACCTTTCTCCAAGGTACTCTCATCTCGTCTGAAAAGTACCTTGAAAATCTAAGCACAAGTTACGAGAACATAATGGCACGGATTGTCAAAGTCGCGCATGATCTTGTCACCTGCAACGATGATTTAGTGTCGTCACTCGAAGGCATAGAATGCATCATGCTCGAGGCTCTTTATGAGAACTACGCAGGCAATCTTCGCCGATCGTGGCTTGCGGCACGCCGTGCTGTCATGATAGCCCAGGTTTTGGGCCTCAACGAAGGCATTATTCCATCTTCGGTAAGAGGAGCCACCGTTGAACCAGACGATCTATGGTTCCGTGTGATCAACCTCGATCGATATCTTTGTTTGATGCTAGGTCTGCCCCAGAGTGCGCCTGACGAAACAGTTGGCAACCTCGATGCACCTGACTCCTACTCTGCAAATCGGAAGATGCAACATCTCTGCTCAATTGCGTGCGCCCGTCTTTTGAGTAGAAGATCATCAGGTGTTTTTGATCAATCGCTGACGAGAGAAGTTGATAAGCTGCTGCGAGATGCATGTACATCTATGCCAGCCCAGTGGTGGATCATGCCCAATTTGTCCTCCCACTATGACCTCCCCGATAAAATCCGCGAGACTCTTCGCTTCAATGATCATTTCATGCAGTACCACCTTCTCTTACAGCTCCATATGCCCTATCTATTGAAAGTCGATGGGGGAGAAGAGTGGAAGTACAACAAGTTGACGGCTGTAACAGCAAGTCGAGAAATCCTCTCGCGTTTCGTCTCCATCCGCTCAATTCCTCAGTCACGATATCACTGCCGCGGAACAGATTTAATTGCCTTCATGTCGTGTACAGCCTTAACCATTGCTCACATTCTTTGCGATGAACGTCACAAGCGGATCGAGGAGCAAGGCTTTCACTTTCTGACTCAACAGCGGTTGAGTGATCGTGGGCTTATTGAACAAGTACTCAAAATAGCACAAGACGGAGTGCGTAAAACGAGTGACGATATTTCTCGGAGATTAATGACCCTACTACACTATCTTCTGGCAATTGAGGACAACGTTACAGCTGGCGTACGTTATAGTGTTTCTTTTGCCGAAGAGTCGGTGAGGGATGGGAATTTGGGGCATCATGTCAAAGCCAGTGACGATGGAACAGCTCTTGACATTCATCTGCCCAATCTGCCCGTGATCAAGATTCTGAGGCGCGATCCTTATGGAACGGAAAAGCCACCTATCACAATGGAAGTCCCTTGGGGCAATATAGCACTGGATCGGCCGGGGCCGGGGAACGCCCTGGAAGATGGCACTTTGGCTAATCTTATACCTTCTTCATCAAGAGATGAAGGAGGTGTTGGAACCGAACCAGATAGGCCGCCTTCTTTACAAGATATCCCAGTGGCAGATTCCTGGACATTAGAGGGCTTGGATATGAGCTTTCTTGATAATTGGGTGGAAGGGCCAGTGTTTATCTGAGTGACTGGCTTTGTCTCAAGCATTGGTGCTGCTGGAGAATATATACATTCCTATTCCAACATCATATGCATATCCATCTATTTCTATGTCGCTTTAGCTTCATAGGGCAATGAACCTCGAGACCTCCCCGGACCTCAGTAATGCTAATTGTCTCCCGCCTAAAGCACTCTCACTTTCCTGCATGCCTGGCTAAGAAGTCGTTGTATCTCTCATAAAACTGAACGCTTTGAGATGTTTGAGGAAGTACAACAGGGAACCAATGTGGAAGTCCAGCATAACAGTGAATTTCCACGTCAACGCCGTCTTTCTTGAGAGCATCAGCGTAAGCGAATGAATCATCTCTAAGTACGTCCGTTCCACCGCATTGAATAACTGGAGTCTGTTAGTTTAAGCATGTAAACTTATAGAAGCGCTCACGTGTTGGCGGGAGTCCCTTGGATGATTCTGAAAGGAGAGGAGAGTGTCTGTAGTCTGGTTTCGCATCAGGGGCATGAGCATCTAAGACAATCTCCATGTTTATTGTGCTTAGGACAGCGTCGTCGTAGTTTTGGATATAGCTGCCGTATTCATATTTATCCCTGGGGAAGAACTTGGGATGACACGTTGATGGAAGATGCAACACTTGGGCGACAAGTCCGGTCACACCGTCTCTGACGCAGTCTAGAGCGAGCGAAGCTGCCTGTATGGTTATAAGATTGTTTTCCATAGGTAAAATGAAAGGAGGTCTCACAAGCTGGCCGCCAGCAGAGCCTCCACTAATTATGACTTTCTCCGGGTCAACTCCTAACCTGTCTGCGTTCTTCTTGCACTGGAAATGGTCAACTGACTACGTTCATTGAGTTCCGTGCTACCAACTCACCCAGATGAGCCCGTCGTAACAATCATTGATTGGTGTTGGGAAGGGATGCTCCGGGGCTCTGGATCCGTTAGCAACCCTTGCGTATATCTTTTGGAGACGTGGTACTCACGTCCTATAATCGACACTCACGACGATAATGCTGGTGTTGGTGGCAGCATATACATTATCAACGCCATCGACTTCATGACGGCCAAGGCACCAGCCTTACAAGTGTCAGCAAAGCCCATCGATTGCCTTGGTCCATACACTTACCACCACCATGCATTCGATACATCAAAACAGCGCTCTCCTTAACATTAGGCGACTTATAAACCTTGAGCTCAATCATGGTTCCATCGCGAGTAGGAATGTCGATCAGCTCTTGGACAACACTTTTGTAGCGATCAGGTCCCCCAGGAGGCATCACCGCATCTGCGTCACCAGCGACTGCGCGGACACTGGGAAAGTCGGGGAGGGAATAGAGGACTTCATACATCTTTCGGATGGAAGGCTCTGCTTGCTCATACTCGGGAGTCTTTCTGGAAAAATGGCCGTATCTAGGTAGGGGCGTGAAAGGCGTGTTGAGGTCGACATAATCGTAGGTAGTTTTCATGTAACCCATTGTGACTGGTAGAGGGTGATCCTGGTGTAATGGTGAAGGGCTTATGGGATTGGGATGAAATGAGAAGATTTTGAAAGACCTATTGGCCGGAGCGTTGCATGTTCTATGGTATCTCCTTTTGAAGAGATCTTTTGACTTTATAAGGACTTGTCTGCCATTTCATTCTTATACCTCCAATCTCCGCGGGCCCGGAAGCCCGTTGATTGACAGTAAATGATTCATTGCCGCCGTAGCCTATTATGGTTTAGTGTAGGCTCGGCCTGTGAGCCAATTAACAGTACATAAGATTGAGTAAGCCAAGTTAGGAAAGACATCTTTGTAGATGTTATTTGGCAGAGAATAGTTGTACCTCTTAACTGACGCGGTGACTTTGCACAACGCCATGCAAAATAAGAGTTGAATGAATCATTATGACAACCTGGTCGTGGCAGGTCTCCTACATAGTTATTTTCTCAGTCATTCTTCCAGACTATGCCCGTAGCTAATAGCATCTTCATGCGATCTCAAGTGATGACTTTGGTAAGAACTCCAGAAAAGAACGCTATCTTCTCCGTAGCCTGAGGTGACAGATTACCTCTTCAAATCTTTAGTCAAGAAGGCAATCAATAAAGCAGTAACAATAAGTAGGTTCCTCAAGCCAGTCACCATATTAAGGGTTACTGTGAAAGGATAACATAGAGCCAATGCGGCAATCCAGCGCTGCTTTGTGGCTTCATGTTCTGTCACGCATCTTGTGCACGGGAACAGAAAAGGCGCTCATCTTTGGAGCATTTAATTTCACAATATGGAGCTATCTCCACCCACTCTATATCGAAGTTGCCGGTAACATCCATATCAACGCCATATTCACAAATGTGCTGGTGGATTGCAGGTAGTCACTTTCCTTGTCGATGCTTCTCTTAGCATGGAGTAACTATCTACCCGTTCAACACTTGTCTTTTCGCACAATGACGTTCCAGTTAGTCTTGTGGAACACCTGTCCAGATACGAAGCTTCTGTAACCACCGTTTTGCCAGCCCCATCGTGTGCACTTATCGTTGATATACTCAGCGCCATCTGCAATGCTTCCAAATCCATTCAAAGTTTTGGAGCTGGCGTTCTTTCATTTTGGTGACCCATCAGCTTGATCTAGCAGCAAGCTCTGGAAGGGTATGACTTACATCGTTACACCACCAGATCCCGGCGTTGTTGGAACAGCTTACTCGGCCACAGTTTCCAGGACCAGGCCCATTCTTCGGCTTTCCTTGGACGTATCTCAGGTACTCTATACCTCGTACAATAGGAGCTGGGTGGCACTCCGGCCAGCGGCCGCGGCATGTATATTTCGCCCCGTTGAAGTTAGTCCGGCCAAAGAGATGCTTGTCGAGATCTCTCTTTTCAGTATCGGCAGCAGCCTGTGTAGAGTTGGGCATGTACTCTTCATCCCAATTAGGGTTCAACTGAAGGAGCTCTTCATGGATCTCTTCTATCGTTCCTCCTAGTACTGTCGTCGACCCCGAGGTCACTTCGACCTCCCACTCAGGGATGACAACTCCGTACCCTTCGATTGGCGCATCTATCGCGAGTACCTACAGAATTTGTGATTAGTAGAGTTCAAGAACGTGAGGCATAAGGATAGACATACGGAACCTAGGAAGGCGACCGAAAGAAGAAGATAGTTACGATGCTGCATGGTGAAAGAAAAGGCAGCGAAGCTAGTTAGAGTAAATACCGGGTTGCTTATGATCAAGATTCGCTGGATGAATACAAAGTTTGGGGCGGATATCTTGAGCTTTCAAGCTCAAATATTACGGGCCTCTACTCTAGTTCAGCCGCAACACACCATAATCAGTCTGTGCAGTTTGGTGCATGCTATTGGTTCTTGTTGGATCTCACATTTCACTCTCACCCCTGTGGTTTTCTCATGCAGTTGGTTTTCGGCGGAGCTCTGGTCCCGTATTCACGATAATCTAGACCTCGCTTCAGTGAAATTAGAAGTCCCAAACTGGAAACTGCCGATATGTGTTGGCAGTCAGGGTTCTTGGCAGAGATACACACTCCCTCACCTAGTCCGTGCGGACGAGACAGGTGCTATTGATTCTTCTGACAGTGAGCAATCTTAGATTCTTTCAACGTTCGAATCGAGCATATAATTATTTGTAATTATGAATTACTGAGGCTGATGTGTTTGACAACAATAGAGTGTGGATGATGGCTGATTTTGAATCACTTCAGCATGAATTCAAGACTGCAAGATCCATGTTTTTAAAATCGAGGCAATATATCTATGGCTTTACGGCTTGTCTATCTGTATTTCAAACTGCTGCTTTCTGTCCAAGACATGACAGCTCCTGATACGATACGGAACACAGTCGTATAATATGACCAGACTCACCATCGCCTTGCGAAGGCGAGATTCCTAACAGCTATCCTTTCTTACGATCACATTCCACTTAGTGCTATGGAATGCTTGACCAGAAAGCATGTTCCACTTTCCTGGAACAGGTGGCCCTCTGTCGGGAACATAGCACTTCTTCACAATGAAAGCAGCACCGTCTGCAATGCTTGAGAAACTGTTCAGAGTTTTTGATTTGGCGTTCTAGAGAGTTTTCTCGTTAGTTACCAAGTGGGTGTACCAAGGAAGCTCAAGGATAGAAACTCACGTCATTGCACCACCAAATAGCCGAGTTAAAAGAACAGCTCACTCGACCGCAATTTCCAGGTCCGGGGCCATTTTTCGGCTTGCCTTTGGTGCGGCGCAGATAAGAAATGCCTTGGTTAACAATGGTCGTGCGACACTTTGGCCATCGACCGCCGCAATGGTACTCAGAGTCGCTGAAGTCAGTTCTAGCAAAGAGCTGGAAGCTGGGATCTCGCTCTGTGAGCTCGCTTTCAGTGCTGTTTCCAGTGTACTCTTCGTCCCAGTCAGGGTTCAACTGGAGAAGCTCCTCGTGAACTTCCTCAATCGTCCCATTCAAGACGGTGGTCGGGCCTCCAGGTGTTATCTCAACCTCCCACTCTGGCACGACCACGCCGTATCCTTCAATAGGAGCCTCAAGCTCAGTTGCCTACTCCACATGTTAACGATTTGTTCTGGTCGGGATATTCGGAGCGCTGCATACATTGCAAAGCAGAGGTGCCACGGCGCAGAGAGCGTAGTAAGGCTTCATTGTCCCAGTATAGTAAAAGCCAGTGCAAGAGAGATTGACTGTTCGAAAGCAGACTTCCTTTTTAAAGAATATGACGGACTAATAAAGGGTCATACGTCGGCAAGTGACTAACCAGACAGACATATGCATGACTGGGCACTGACTGCAAGCATCGTGATATGAATACGTAAGACTATTCTTTCGTGTTTTTCATGATAAGACTTTCGAGAACCAAGTGGTATGAACGGAGCTTCTCAGGGTCATGATCCGATTCACGCATATCCGCCTAATTTTAGGCGTTATACGGATTGCCAGATTCTGACTCTATGGCAACGTTGTGTTGGTTGCCAGTGGACACTTTCGCGGGTCGCAGGACCTTTGAAGCGTGAGAATGGTTCTCGACCAGACTTGTCTGCTTCCATTGAGGCCGTAAGTGATGCTCGGCGCCTGCAGGTGGGGACGGAAAGCATCATAGCGTACTGGACCAACAAAAGCCTCACCGTTGAGGTGAGATTAACCACCAGAAACCAAGTTGAATAGTATTCTCTGTTAGCAAACAGCGACGTAAACCCAGATATAGAGTAGGCAAAGAGCAAATCATAACTTGAATATCTAGCTTTGAACAGTAACTTGATCAAATAGGACTTAATCGGATAGGACTCTTGGATGGAAACCAATTATAGGAGGATCAATGTACTGTCCCTCTATTTATGGCAACCGATAATGTACTGATTGTGCAAAATCAGGCGCTTTGACATTTGCTACCCCTGTGCACGACAAACAATCTCACGCTAGCCAGTTATGCTTGAACTCAATAAAAGCGGACCAAAGGGGACAGAGTGCCTTGCTGATTATGGTATAGCCCAACTCTGCCGCTTTCTCGCATGTGAAGATGTGAGCATGCGGAATTAATATCAAGGGTCTCCATGGTTACTTCCAGCCTACTCTTCTCATCACCACATTGTTACCGAAACGCTTCAATACCTTAGCGAGAAGGGCGGTGCAGCTATTCCATTCAATCCCCGCCTGTCCAGGGATTGCGAATACTGCTAACTTCCTTCCATAATTTGAACATCATCACATACCTAGCTAACGTCTTGTGACTGGGACCAACAGCATCAGCTGATCTTTGTTGTCGCCCACGTGAATTGTTGCATATTTGTTGCCGCCTACCTAACTACCTTCATCTTGGCTTACCTGCCTTCCGGAAGAAAAACTTACCACTTCCTACCACAGAGACCGAGTTTTCTCAGCATCGCGATAACGGAATAAACATCAAGGATCAACCAGAATAGCCGAGGCTTTGTCAGAGCCTGGTCAAAATATGGGTTTCTTGGACATCCTTCTTTCTATACTCCCCAACGTGCCATTTTTGCCTCCTGCGGCACCGACAGACGCCAAAAAGGAGAGAAAACAGCAGCCTGGGCCGACAACCCGTTTTCTAGGTAAATCGCCTCAGCAAAACGAGGCTGACAGGGAGCTTGCATCGGAGCAGAGAAATGCAGAGAAATGAGCTGTTCCGCCATTTGCCCTCCAAACTGGCATATATGTATAAAACAGAGCCTGGTTTTGCGAGCACGCACCTCTATTTGCCGTAAGTCACCAGCGGATCCCGTCCACACCCAGGTAACTTGTACCATAAATGACGCATGACAGGCCGAGCATAAATGGAAAACGCGAAGAACAATGACAAACAAATAACACACTGCTCGTAGACATTGGGCGTGGACTGCAGGATCCAGTGGGTAATTGCAACTTGCTCCTGGATAGGTATCTAGCAATATGCAAACAAAGTAGTTGATATTGTCCAGTGGCTAGGTGAAAATGAAATAAAATAAAATCTTACGAAACTTCATTGTCTGTTATTCGTAAGAGTTCTCGGTTTCATATATCTACATTAGGTAGTCATTATGCCCTTCTTTCAGGTCGAGAAGCTGGAACGCTGTCCGCTTTAGCCTGCGTACCCTGGCGACCTACCCTAAGTCCCGATGGCCACTTTAAATCTCTATCTTTAAGGCCAGTTAACAATCAAGCTAAGTTGCTCAAATCTGTCGCTTATAACATAATAGCCCTTATGCTGGGAATTGAATTGGTTGAACCTATCCTAAGCTCGAACTGAAACATTCACGGTGAAGTAGCGTTTTGTTTCGAGCCAGTTTAATGCGAAGCACTTGAAACAAAGTTATTCGGACGTACCTTCATCCTCTGCCATCATGTTACTTCTTGTTGCTACATTAACAGCTGCTGGAAACAAGAACGATGTCATAGTATTATTGTCGTTCCTGGAGCTCCATCTGTGAGCCTCTGACGGACCTCCGGCTGTTCCAGCATGAATTTTGGATATCTTCTTATTGCATAACTACCGACTCCCGTACATGGCGAACCTCCCTGACTTGCTGACTACTGGTCCGGAATTTCTCCGGCCTCAGTGGGCAGTCATGAACATCCCTCGCTTCGGGTCCTAGACTTTTGACAGTTGCTCTACAACCATACGTCTGCCGTTTCCTGACTTGACGGTAATTGGAGTGACTCAAACTAGCTCACTGACAGCTTGTTTTCGCCTACTATACCGGATCGAACCGCCCGTCCCAACTCATTCGAGTCGCAACGATGTACCCCAGACTCTGATAATTTGACACGAAGCAACACGACGTGACGTGGCGCGACACCGAGAGCCTATCTTGAAGCTCCCATCGAAGTAGAATAGATTCCAAATCCAAGATATCGGCATCAATTGCTTCCGTTCCTAGCCGTGCCATGCTTCCCTGTCTTGTTTCTCGAGACCGTTGCTCGGCTTTCTTCCAGCCGCCATGACTTGTTGGATAGAGGGAATCCATCAATTCGTGACCATGCTTCCGAATAGTCTTGATGGCTTTCTCGCCACTAACCATGCTCCCAGCACGCTCGCAACCGCTTCGATCGCCTTCGCCCGGATAACGATCATACGAACCTTCTTGAACTCCTCCATCACGCCAAGACTGTAGTGGCATTCCCGATGCAAAGTCGCGCGACTCCTCGACGCCCCGTTCTATTTCTTCCGACCATCGAACTGCTTCTCGCCCAGCTCACGAACATAATAAATGGCAATGTTGATAAAGGTCATTGACTGGCTCGGTTTAGGGACGATGCGGGATGGTAAAGCATCCAATGCCACCTGGGCCAATCATTAGTGGCAGGCACTGGTCAGGCGCGATTGCTGCCTACTCCATCTGACATGCGTCGCCGTGCTTTCAATTCATGGTCGCTTTCTCTTACGAACAGTCATTCTGCCATTGACATGATATATTGATCTCAGTGTCGAAAATGCCTAGATCTGTGAACACCGTAGACGAATACGATTTCGTTGATCATCAAGACGCCACGTTGAGCCTAGAGACCGTTGCTGAGCTGAGAGAATGGCTCCAGCCGACCGACTACCTCGCCGAAAGCTCAGAGTATCGTCGCCATCTTTTATCCCAGGCTCCAGGGACTGGGCTTTGGATATGCGAAACAGAAGAGTATCGCAAATGGCATGATTCTCCCGATCATGGTAGTCTCTGGATCA